GAAATCGCGCAGCTAAATCAAGGAGCGCTTTGAAACTGTGCAAGGTGGCTATCCCAATGGCAAGACTACAAGAAGGCTTTACATAGAACCCTTGGGTAACTTCTGTCAGACCATTAATGACCTTCCTGCTACAGCTAGAATACACAGAATCCTGTGCAAAGGTACTCTGAGGCTTCTGATTGATACGCACTTTCCCGGTTCCACAGTGGCGCAATCAGTCATAGAGTGCATGTTGCTAGGCAACGTGGTGGTTCTATCTCTTTCTAACATACACGTGTTGCAAACGACTCCCGCTCCTCTCTCGTACACATCACGACGTCAGTGATATATGGATTTCTCTGTATGTGATAATGATTCATTCGTTGATTAACAAAATAGCCTAGCCCTGACAACTAAGCTTAAGTTTGAATATTTGTTATAAGCGCTTATTAATTATTATCATCATCGTAATTATGCATGTTTTTTCTTAACCTTATTTTATTTTGTTTTAAGTATTTAATATCTTATCATGATTGTATATTACATATTATAATACTTAGTCGCTAGGTATGCTACTCAAATCCTTCTTTATTCGATTTACGTGCAATTTTAGTTATGTTAGTACTTCTACTTTTGTAGTGTTTAGGGCATGTCGTTTGTAAGATAAGGTAAAATAAAAATATACTTTCAATTTGTGTATTTTTTTACCGGTAGTGTATACATTAGAATTTAGATTGTCCGCTTACATCTGATATTTTACGTTGAATCTTGCATGGAATTTTTTTATTTTAGACTGAATAGTAGAACAAACAGTGGTACATATAGTATAAATTGAATAGCTTTGCAAAATTCGAGTACTTAGGATATAACCGAATATATGTAACACCTGAAACTTATCCTGTGGTTTTGTCATACTGGTAGAAATCCATGTTTGTATGGCCAAATGAAATCATATATGTTGAAATTACTCTTTACTGACGTTGACCTTCAGGATCTATGTCAATGTCAAATCCAAGGTCACCAAGTAACATTTGATTTCCTAAAACTTTTTCGTCCAAAGTTTTTTCTATCACCCTTAGTTTCCGAGATATTTGGGTGTGCCCATTCTTTCGGGACACCCTGTATACAAGACCGTTTAGGCTGTTGTTGCAATGCACTATACAGGGTGTTTCCTAACTACGGTTCGAAACTTCAGAGGGCGATTCGTTAGGTTGTGTGAAGAAATAAAGTTAATAACTAAAACTACAATTTTTTGTTCTCTTGTGTTTTCTTCATATCTTGCCTTTTTTTTTTTTTTGAGGAAAAAATAAAAATCATCAAAACTCATTCTAAAAACTATCCATGGATAACATAAAATAATTATGTCATCATTACTTCAAATAATAATTACACCAAATTCCAACCTAATCGCATATCTGGACCTCAGAGCCATACGGTATTAAGTCCAGTTTTCTCACATTTTCAGGTTTTGAATGATACCATGCTATTTTTTCCCGCTCTTTCCATTGGCGTTGAGTATTAAGTCCTATCTGGTACCGTGTATAAAATAAGCCAGTATAAAATGTACTATGTCCAATTTGGTGACGAAGCAAACTGTTTCAAAGTCCCTTGATACTGTTTTGCCCGAGGAAATAGAACTTCCTTTAGTATTAAGTCCGGAGTTTAGGTATTAAGTCCATATGCAAGGTTAAGCGTGTATAGGACTTAATACTTTTAGTTACTTGTTGACTATTGTTGATTACAGAGGTTTGAGTATACAACGCTACTTGATTGCAATAAATAATAATTATACTTTAGAAAGAATATCATCAAAATAGATCAACTATAATGTCAGGTCGAGCTAAGAGAATGGTACAGATGGCTTGCAAAAGCGACGAAGCTGACTGCAATCGTGATTCCGCCAACATAACTTTACTTTCTCACGCAAGCGCAAGTAAGTTATCAATCATTTTTATGGATCAGGATTTATTTCAACTATAGCTTCCAACTAATCTCTGGAGTGAATCAGAAAGTCGTACAAAATAGGGATAGGAGTGGAAATAGTAGGAACGATTAGAATCACAATTTTGGTTTAATAAAATCCTAATCGACATACTTTAAATAATTCGAAATTGGAGAATGGTACACATTCTGGCTCCGCCTACGAGAACCGCCGGGTGGTACCTCCGCGTTCGACAGTCAGAGACCATCTACCACCTACGGACAATCACAACATCCATAGCCAAGAGAAAAATTTATCCTGGGACGGGACTCGAACCCGCACAGCGCACGGCGACTGATCAGGAGACCGAAGAGTCTACTACTGCGGCCACCGCTGCTGCCTAAAACAAACACACAACATCCATGGCGAAGGCGAGATTCGAACTCGCGGCCCGGCCGGCCGGCTGATCAGTAGCACGACACTCTGACCCGCGCGGCCAACCGAGGTCCCATACTACTCAAATTTTACAAAACGATGTTAATAAATTAATTAAATACTCTTTAGATCACAATCTACTTATTAATCCACAAAAATCTAAAATGTTATTATTTTGCGCACAAAGAAAAACATACAATGTAACACAGCTCTTGAACATTCAGATAAATAACCAAATCTTGCAATTTTCTGATTCTGCAAAAATTCTTGGTGTTGTTTTTGATACAAAATTAAGGTTTATTGAACATGTTAAAAGTCTATCTCAAAAAACCTACCTACGGCTGCGCACTCTTATAGCAAACAGGTATTTACTAAATTTTAAGATGCGTAAAAAACTATGTGAAGCATTGGTCATATCTATACTAAATTATTGTTGTTTAGACAATTTCACTAAAAACGTTATTCAAGTTATTCAAAACAATTGTATACGATTCATTTTTGGCTTACGTAAATTTGATCATGTATCGGTGAAATATCCCGTTCTAAACTGGTTAAAAATTAATGACATGGTCAAGTATCACTATTCAGTTTTTGTTCACAAATTGCTGCTCACGTCTTAACCTTATTACTTGAAGGAAAAAATTTCATTTAATAATGATGTTCACTGTAGAACTCTCAGAGAAAATAATATTAGAATACCCCTGCATACGTCTACACTTTTTAAACGCAGTTTTTCTTACAATGTTGCTATTATTTATAATGACCTTCCTAAAGTATATAAAGAATTTTCATTACCTGTCTTTCGACAAAAAGTTAAAACATTATTACTCAACCCTCCAAACATATAATTTACGTAATCATTCATTTCTTTTTTATTCCATATTTAATTCAGATTAATAATTTTTTGGTGCATTTGTTTTTGGAAAGTATGCCTTTTTAAATTTTACTTTGGATGTAATGAACCAAATCTGTTTGTGGATAGTGTATTCTTTTGAACATCTGCTAGAGACTATATGGTTAAGTGTAAGAGTAGCAGCAGGCTAAACTCCGCCATATAAGTCTGACATTTGTCTATACTACAATGTAATTGTGGATAAATAAAGACGTCTATTATTATTATTATTATAAGGAATCATGTTCTGAAACCAACATAAGGGTTCTGATGGTTGATTTACAAAAATGTTTACCTACGCCTTTGCTCAAAAATTCGCAAAGCTTTTATTTACTGAAGCTCTGGACATTCAAATATACTGTGTACGATAGCTCACAGAAGTCTGCTTCTTGCTTCATATGGGACGAATCCATAGCTGGACGAGGTGGCAATGAGATGGCTTCTTGCTTAATGAAGCATGTATCAAATCTGCCCGATAGCTTTGACGATGTAGTGGTATGGAGCGACAATTGTCCGTCACAAAATCGAAATTTACAAATGGTAATGTGTTATTTTCTGATGCTGCAGGTGAAGAGTCATGAAAACCTCACCGAAGTTTTCCATTATAACTTCATGGGACTGGCAACAGCTCATACGACTCTGTGGCCCAAAAATAGATGTGTCTGAAATGGAACTACTTGATTTCAAGAATTTCAACGATCTCCAAAGTAATGCCAGATCTCCTATGCAACCGAAGAAAAAAACTAATACTGGACACCCCTTCTTGATTTCAAAAGTAGTTCATATGAAGTTTTTTGCTGACTCAATGGGAATATTATACTTTAAAACCGCTTTTAATGATACAGAATTCAAGCAAGTAGATTTCAACAAATCTGAACCAAGAAAGACAAGGCGAGTACAGAAAAGCGGATCTCAACTTTATATGCCTGAAGCTATTAGAGAATCTATGAGGCCCATTACGACAAAAAAGTTCTTGGATCTTCAAAAGACACTGAAATGGGTTCCCAAACGATTCCACAACTTTTTCAACAACCTATCCCATGGATCAGCCGAAGCAGACGAGGAAACCTAAAGGCTACCCATGGAACTCAGATGAAATATACAAAGACGATTTTTTGTGCAATATTTTCTTTATTTGAATGAAAAAAACCTTATTTTTCTCAAATGTTTTTTATTTATATTTCCCAACATGTAAATTCTCCAACAAAAGTCCAGAACCATAGAGTATTATGTCACATAATTTGATATTATGTCACCAAATATTAAGTCCTAGTTCAGAACCAGACTGTATTAAGTCACATAAAAATGAAAAAATATTGTTTTAATTTAACAGATGACTAGAAAATAAACTCCATTTAATACCAAATTCAACAGCAGTTATCATTTTACGATATACAGTGATTAATTCAACTATGTGCAGTTCTAAGAAAATAATATAGGTAATCAAAACCTTCAAAGTGTTCTCCTGAAAAGTTATATGGAAGTGACTTAATACAGTATGGTCCTGATGTCCAGATATTTAATATTTTATAAACTCCAGAAACACAAAAATGGAACTCCTTTCTTCTCTAGATGACCTAACGAACCGCCCTTTTGATGTGGTGACTGAAACTTCAAATAAATCTTTCATTTGTCGAGACGTACTTATAACTGAATATATTTCAAATACCAACCCAATCCCTACCTACCTTCATGTCAAAAATACTTTGTAAAACGTTATTTGTTCTCAAATGACTCGGAAGCTGCTTCGTTAATTTCAATACGATTCTAAACATGTTACTTTTTTTTAGTGTTAGAGGAAAAGAAAATCGAGAATCTTTCAGCGACTCGTCGTTCTGCAGCAACAGTGACGATATGTTGCAACAGCCTAAAAAAAAAGTTGTACATAAAAAGAAAAAGAGAGATCGTAGGTATGAGTGTGGTCATTGTGAAAAAGTGTCCACATGCAAAAAAAGCGCTAGATGCACACACTTTCAGGTACCATCCACAGTTCACTGATTCGATCACCCGCAAACTTCTTCAATGTTCTGTATGTACCTTTAAACTTTTAACTATGGATCGTTCAAACGTCATCTTTTGATACACTCTGACTCAGTTATCCACGTCAAACTGAGTAGATGCTTGCACTGCAACAGGACATTTAGAAGCGCAACGGGGTTAGATGGACATGTACTAAGGGAAACACCCCAATTTTGTAGATTCCATCACCGGCAAGATATATAAATGTGTACATTGCAGTTTTCAGGCATGCAGTAAGATCCATTTTGATAGACATTTATTGAAACATCCAGAAACAGCTGGTTGTTATAAATCCAGCAAATGTGTACATTGTGGTAAGGTATATTATGATAAAAAAAATCTGGATAATCATATAATTCAGAAACATCCTGAACACATTGATACAGTTACTAGCAAGATTCATGAATGTGCCAAGTGCAGTCTCAAAACGACTAAAAGCAGTGAATTCACGCGTCATATGACGTTAAAACATCGGGAAGGTAGCAGCCCTCAGCGTATAGTATGCGGACACTGTCCAGCTAGTTTTAGACATAATCGTTCATTGAACGACCATATACTTAAAAGACATCCGAGTTTTTCTTCGTCGGTCGACAATAAAAAAATATATGAATGTGACAAGTGCGATTATAAAACTGTAATTCGATCTTCTTTAGTCCGCCATATAAGATCCAAGCATACTGAAACAATACCCGTTAGTGAATTAGAAATGTGTATTCACTGTAAAGCTCTATTTAGTTGTAAGATCTCGTTAGACGATCACATAATAAAGAATCACAGTGATTTTTCAAATAGTGTTACCAGTAAAATATATAAATGTACAGTGTGCAACTATAAAACCACTAGAAAAGATAATCTAGAGAAACATTTATCAACGTTGACACATTCTGAAAAAAGTAGGAATACTTCGTGAGACGAAAAACGTTCGGTTAAAGTCGGATAATTTGTACCATCTAATATATTTTATGAAATAACTCTCGACGAAACTGAAAAGTAAAATAGTTTAACATGTTTCTGTCAAAAGTCACAACTTAAGACTGATGTGAATACTCACAGTTTAGAATAATAAGCTTTTAACAAAATCTTGTTAAGTTGTAACACGTGTTTTAAATTGTACCATACCAAAATGCGTATATTTTGTGGAGCAGGTGTGTGGATCGAAACATCGTGATAATTTAATTATTCAACTTGAAATACAGAGATCACATAAAAGGAACAAAGTTGAAATATAATATTACTCTAACAAAATTACTCAAAATATTACGTAACGTACTCGTACAAATGAAGAGCTTCGTTTATTGAACTCAAGCGTAGGAATCTCTGATTGATAAAAAGAAAATCATACGTATATACGAGCAGTAGTCATTGCCAATGCCAGGATCAGTTGGGCAAAAAGTACAATTAAATTGTTTATTGGGAATTGGCAAAACTTGACTCTTCAATCTTTCGACAAATCGTGTTGTCATCTTCAGGAGTCGTCGATCGATTGTTAAAACTAAAACTACATTTTGGGGACAGAAATTTCGTCTGTCACCGGATACCTATTGCAAGTGGTCATGGTCATTCATCGTAGTTTTAGTTTTAGTTTTTAATAATTTGATTACTCTTTCCATTTTTTAATCCGTTCGTGTTTATTGACAAATGTTTACAACGCATAGCTATGTGTTCCGTGGTTAACAACAAACATAATGTGTCCGGTTTTTTGGTTTTATAATCGTAACAAGTGGTCTCATCCACGTTTTTGTTCTAAACCATCACCATTTAGCAGCAACCTCATCGTTTGTCGAAAGCTCGAGATTTCAGTCAAAATACTTCGCTACGCTTCGAGTTTTGGCGTTAGAAATCTATACTTCAGAAAATATTGAGGTAGCACGACTTAAAAACCGACAGAGGTACTACGTAACTTGAAAAGTGGCATTGTGTCATTTTTGACATTATGTAGGCGTTTTTTTCAACTTGGAACTTCATGTTCACTTGTAGCAAGCGCTATTTGCACACTGGTCTACTTAGTCTACATGTTGACATTTTATCGTTATTTTTTTTTATTATATAGGCTTCTTACGTAATAACACTGTGGTACAACATACCCTATTTATTCTAGCTTCTGGTTGTTTTTTCAGTAGCTTTTGCATGTAAATCATTTCTATATCTTATTATTTTCTTTTGAGATGTTATCTATTTGTTATGCACCCTGTTATTAGCTTTACACTATACTAAGTTATATTTTTATTTTTAATTTGTTCAGGGCCGTACAGAATCCTTTGCACAAAACACTGAAACCGGCCCTGAATATGTCTGCACTAGTCAGGCTCTTTTTTATTGTTATGTATCTATCTATGCATGCTTTCAAATGTTTTAATCATCTGTTTGTATGGTTGATGCAATAAATAAACGAAAATAACATCGCTTGTTTTATTAACGTATGCCAAGTAGTTCCGAAACTACTATCAGAACTAATTCCGTATTTGAATTTCAAAAATATTCCGAAGACGAGATTGCAAGTTGAAAAAATTTAGCAATCTACATCAAATATTTTGACTTGGTTCTCAGTTTGGTAACAGCGTAATTTTTAATAAATATGTAGTTTACACATCCGAAGTTAACAGTTTGTCTTCTACTGAAATAGGTTTTTCTGTTACTGATTTATGGCTTATACAACCCAATGATACATTGAACCTTTTTATTTAAAATTGTGGTGAATTTGCAGAGGTTTTTGCTGCAAATGGATAAGGAGGGAACTATACCTCATTTTGATTTCATTGAAACACTCGTTGATGCTGTCATCTATTAATAATTCATCTCTTTTAAGAGTTGTTCAAATCGAAAGAAACTAGTCCTACTTGAATATGCTTTGAGCAGATGGCGCCACTACGAAACTTAGCAACCGCAACCAGTCTTACACATTAGCTTATAGTAAGTTGCCTGTATCTGACAAAAACAAAATGCACATGTGTTCCGTGTTGTCAACTTCAAAAACTAACCTAGCATTTGGTTTGTGTGAATGAAAATGACCGATTTACCAGGTTTTGAAAATCCAAATAAAACTATAGACCTAAATACCGACGAGGTAGATAGGCCAAAAAAGAAATCCTCAAAGAAAGGGGGCGGTTTCCAATGTATGAACTTGAGCTACAATGTACTGAAAGGCATTACGAAAAGGGGCTACAAACAGCCCACCCCAATTCAGAGAAAGGTAAGTACGGTCAATATTAATATATATAAAGTATATTTTCACGTGATAAAAATAATTGCAGACTATACCGTTGATTATGGAAGGCAGAGATGTAGTAGCAATGGCTCGAACAGGTAGTGGTAAAACAGCTGCTTTTCTGATTCCTATGTTTGAGAAACTAAAAATGCGGAGTGCTAAGGCAGGTGCTAGAGCTCTCATATTATCCCCAACCAGAGAATTAGCCTTACAAGTGAGTTAAAATCAAGTTATCACTGTTGTTGCTCTGGTTGATCCCGTGTTACTAATAGTCCTAATATTTTTTACAGACTTTGAAGTTCTTGAAGGAATTAGGCCGATTTGTAGGCCTGAAAGGAGCTGTCATCCTTGGAGGAGACTCGATGGATGAACAATTCTCAGCAATCCATGGAAATCCTGACGTTATAGTAGCAACGCCGGGTCGTTTCCTACATATCTGTGTTGAAATGGACTTGAAGCTCAGTAGCATTGAATATGTGGTATTGGATGAGGCAGATAGACTGTTTGAGATGGGCTTGGGTGAACAGCTGACAGAAATTGTTGGTAGATTGCCTGATACGAGGCAGACTGTATTGTTCTCTGCAACGCTTCCCAAGGTTTTAGTCGAGTTTGCTAAGGCTGGCCTTACAGACCCAGTACTTATCAGGTAATTACTTAGTGTAGTGCTTATAATGCCTGCACCGAGCTTGAAACATATAAAATTTGACACTGTAACAGAATATTGAATCTTTTAACTCTAAATGATCTGATAAATGAAACTTGGCATGTTTATACTAAAGGAAAGTCTTACAGGGTGCTGTAGCGTCTTTTAGAACTTTTGATTTCACTGTTTTTTCTCTTAAAACTTTAAGAGGATTGTCTGATAGATTATTTAGAAACAAAAAAGTGTGGGTGCAGCACGCTTTTCATGGAAAATTTTTCCCAAAACATTGTATTTTTAGCTGCTTTCCATCATAATTTCCACCGCCATATGACGTAGACGTCTGTGAATATGTTATATACAGAGTGACTTTGAAGTTGAGTCATTAATTTTCAGATAATGATTGAAGAAGGAAGATAAACCAAAATATGTGTGTAAAAATAAAAAAAAATTTTACCTTGTTTTATAAAGTATCCTCCCGACAAGTATTTCAGTGCGGACCTGTATTTGATCGTGAGGTCTTGGAGCACCGGCATGCCCTTCCCTGTGAGGTCTTAAGTCACCTGATTCACGAGCCCTTTGCACTACATTAACAAAGGCACGAGGGGTTGGTTGCACTCGATTGGGAAACCGATCCGCATAAACATGTGCCATTTTTTATTTCGTTTGAGCCACGCAGCAAACACCACTATTCACTCACGCGTTAGCGACTGACACAGACTGAATAAAAACATCGTGATCAGCGTTTCAAATTCTTTCGCTTTATTGTTTCCGATGCGATGAACCGATAAGGCGGATTATATCCGTTGTTGCCAAACACGAGCACATAATATTATTATTGAGACAGGGCGGTACTCAAACTTCTAAAGGGCTATAACTTTGTTACTTTAATTTTACCACAAAAAATGTTAAAGGAAAAACACATTTCTTTTGATCAGATCTACTCACTGTTAAAATAAATGACTGAACTTCGAAGTCACCCTGTATAAGAGGCGCTTGCCTGCGGTGTTGCCGGATTGGTCTCCGCATTTAGGGAAAAATATGAAAAGTTAAAAACTCATATATGTACATATGTATATTAATTAATGAATCACAAAAACGAAAAACTGAAACAAACAACAGTAGCAAAATAAAAGGCGATTCCTAATAAGTATAAATCAAAAAATAACAGTAGTGCCAGAAAATGATAAATCATAAATAATTATAAAAAACAAAAAATAAAAACAGTAGTAAAACAAAAACTAATTCTATGTAATTTTAAAAATCAAAAAATAAACAGCAGTAAAATAAAAAGTAGTAAAACAAAAAAAAATCCATGTTGAATAAAAAGCAATTCTAAGTGACAACACAAAACAAAAAGTAAAAATCAAATGGAATTGTTTTTGTTTTACTACTGTTTTATTTTTTTTGTTGTTTATAATCACTTATTTTTTGTTTTATACCTAGTAAGAATCACTTTTAAATGTTCCAATGGACACAAAGCGTCGAAATGCTTTCTGTTAGAGATACAGGGTGTTAAAGTTTGGTTATTGTTTACTAATTCTTGAAAAGTACAAACATCTACAATGAGAAATTGAGTTACATTATGGAGTTTTGTTTCAGATTGGATGTTGAATCAAAATTACCTACAGAATTGCAGTGCTGGTATTTCTCAGTGAGACCCGAGGAAAAACTGGCAGCCCTTCTTGTGCTTTTGAAGTCACACATTGACCAAAATCAACAGACAGTCGTTTTTGCTGCCACAAAACATCATGTGGAATATCTACATGCGGTAAGACAGCCAAAAAAAATATGTTGTTTATTTATTTAACATCGATAAACGACATTTTCAGGTGTTAGACCACATGGGCATAAGCAATACTTACATTTATTCTAACCTAGATCCTTCAGCTAGAAAAATACATGCAGCCAAATTTAGTACTGGGAAAGTGAAGGTTTTGATTGTAACCGATGTAGCAGCTAGAGGTATTGACATTCCACAGTTGGACAATGTTATTAATTACAACTTTCCTGCTAAGGCAAAATTATTTGTCCACCGGGTAGGTAAGTATCCGATTATTTTACTATGAGGTGATTTATTCAAAGCTACTTTTTAAGAAGGAAAAAAGATAAAAGCAGCTATCTTTATCTATCTCTCGTAGAAGCCTAAATAACAGGGCACGCGGCTGGTATGAGGAGCTTCAAGAAACTTTGTTTATCCGATTTTTGAATTGCCCAAGCGACAAAGGACGGGTCATATCACACAGTTCTTCCCCATTGGAATAAAAATTCACTAATTTTTGGGAAGACCCCCTAATATTATTAATATTATTATGTGAGGTCGTGAACTGGAAGGAAACAAAGAAGAAAAGTAATCTGAAGATAGTGACTCTTTCTGACACAGTTCGGATCGAATGATAACGATCCCCTTGAAATATATCGATACACCCAAGTATCGTATACAAAAATATCGGCACGGGTATCATGTAAAAAACCTACAGAACGTCAAAAAAACCTATGAGGTGTCAACTTGCAGACTAGGTAGTTTTTAGGGCGCTCTTCATGACGAGGCACCACCACACACTTTCAGTGTTTGAATGAACATTATCCAAATCGCTGGATCGGTCGAACTGCATCCTGATCCTCGAAAATGACGAGCAAGATCTCCTGACCTCAATCCGATGGATTTGTGGTATTGGGGAGAACTTAAAGGGATGGTTTATGGGGCTGGTCCAACAACAACTGAAGCACAACTTCACGAAAAAAATTTTAATGCAGCTGAAATAATAAACGGACAACTTCGAGGACCTAGAGTAAGAAGAAACTATGTTCGTCATAATGAAGCTTGTGCGGAAAGTGGAGGTCGATATTTTAAACACCTTCGTTAAATACAAAAAAAGTGCAGTGTGGGTTTGAAAAAAACAATGTATGTATCAAAAATTTGCTCCCTACAGCAGACGCTCGATAACGTAAACACGGGATAATGAAAACTTGTGCTAATGTAAACACAAACTTCGTTCTATAGGATCAAACGGAACGCGCGATAACGTAAACAATGTGTACGCTCGATAACGTAAATAACTCTCGACGCACGGAAACAGCGCGACGGTAAAATGCTGAATCCTCGATGATTTATGTATGTCGGGCGTCGGGGAGTCCCCGATTTATGATGTAGAGTGTAGGGGATTCACCTCTGCGATAAAATACGACAAACTCGGTCAGTCGTATGATCGTTTAGGATACGTTTATGCGTACGTATGTATTTCATTTTTGAACTTAAGTGAATACATTGCACGCGTTAATATATTTTACTACTATGGCATCCACATCCTATAAAAGAAAGTGTTTAAAGTTGAGCGAGAAAGTGAAAATCATAGACGAAGTTGAACTAGGTGCGGGAGTGACACAGTTAGCAAAAAAATATGGGGTATCGAAAGCAACAATCTGTAAAATTAAGCGTATGAAAACTCAAATTTTACAAAGAACGTGCAATACATTTGGAGGTCCGGGAAAAAGAAAAACTTTAAAAAATGCGAAGGCACCTAAAATGGAAAATTCCCTGTATAAGTGGTTTTTAAAACAACGGGAAAATCATGTCCCAGTTAGTGGCGAAGTACTTAAACAGAGAGCGAGACTGTTAAATGAAAAACTGAAAATTTCGTAGCTAGTGATGGCTGGCTGCAACGATTCAAAACAAGATATGGAATTCGACTGCTGTCTATATCTGGTGAAAAATTATCAGCACAACCACAATTAGTGCAACCATTCAAAGAAAAATTGATGAAAACAATTACCGAGCTAGATTTAAGAATGGAACAAATTTACAATGCAGATGAAAGTGGCCTTTATTGGAAAATGTTACCAGAGAAAACCTATGCTGCATTATTTGAAAAATCTGCCCCGGGAAGAAAGCCGGAGAAACAACGAATAACGTTTCTAGCCTGCACTAATGCTAATGGTTCACACAAAATAAAGCCACTGGTAATTGGGAAAGCAAAAAATCCGCGCTCATTTAAAAATGTTAATATCCCTGTTGATTATGACTCTTCAAAAACCGCTTGGATGACTAGCAGTATATTCCTGAAGTGGTTCCACAGGTGCTTTGTCCCTCAGGTATGACAATCAATTATCACAAATGCTCTATTCATAATTTGAAGATGTGTTTTCAATTTGTAGGAAAAAGGTGTCCTAAAACAACAGAAGCTTCCAATAAAAGCGTTGTTACTTGCACCAAGTCATCCTCCTGAGGAACAACTGATGAGCAGGGATGGGTCAATTTTCGTCATGTACATGCCGCCCAACGTAACACCGTTAATTCAACCCATGGACCAGAATATAATAAGACCCACCAAACTATACTATAGGAAGTTTCTACTTTCGTCTGTCTTATCAAAGAATCCTGAAAACTTATCTGAGGCTTTAAAAAAGTAACGTTACGAGAAGCTGTTTTAGATTTACATATGGCCTGGAATGAACTTAACCAGCAAACTATTCAGAAATGTTGGAACAATCTCTTTTGTACCAATAATGAAGATGATGAAGAAGACGATATCCCCTTATGCGTAATTAGAGAACGTTTGCGATCCAATAATGATAATGTTATTAGTGTGTCATTGGATGTTGTTGATTTATTGAAAACAGTGAATCCCAACATTGTTTGTACTCCTGCTGATATTAATTTATGGAACGAAGATAAGCAGACGAATGATGCTGATAAGGAGGAGGATATGGACAGTGAGGATGATGAGAACGATCCCATTGAAGTCAGAAATGCAGTGACTGACGCGCAAGCTATACAAGTTTTTAACCAAGCTTTAGATTGGGCTGAAAGAAAAGAAGTTTCATACACGGATATTTTAGTTCTTCGTAAATTACGGGCGCAGGCATTGGAAGACAATGCTAAGCGCAAATTTACGCAGACAAAAATTGTTAATTATATTTCTTCTAATTAAAAAAATAATTATCGCTATTAGAATATTTGTTTATTTTGTTATAAATATGTATTAAACGTTTCTTTTAATAAATCAAATATTATATAAATCACGTTCGATAATGTGAACCACACTTGGATTAAATTAGTTTACATTATCGAGCGTCTGCTGTATTTATAAGTGGATTTTTTAATACGTTCAATAAACTTTCGCACACCATTTTACTTTAAAGTCGCCTTTCTCTAAAAAAATGCCGTTTTGACCCCCATGTTATATGAAACTTTTTGGTTCTTAACCGCTCTATCACCCATTTAAATAATGACTATCATAACGTTTACACCCTGTAGATTTCGACGACGCTCAAACCAGGTTGAAAGTATTGAGTCAATCTACTTGACGCTGTTTTTTTAGGTCGTTGTGCTCGAGCCGGAAGATCAGGCGTAGCATATTCCCTTGTAGCCCCAGACGAATATGCCTTCCTGCTCGACTTACATTTATTCCTGGGACGACCTCTTTCGATAACAACGCCGACTAACAAAAACGGTGAGGTTGGTAGAATTCCACAATCGCTGATAGAGGAACAGCTAGCGTCTCTTATAACGTTGCATGAGACGCATTCAGATTTGGTAAGTGTATCATGTTGATCAACGAATTCGGACTATCTCTTCTGGATGAGATCCCGCATTGTCTAAAAATAAAATGTTTCTTTTTTCTCTCTTTCATAATTTGGATCCATTTCCACAAGTCGCCCACTGTGTCGCATAGACGTCAGACTGATACTGAACGGAAATTTAATCGAAAGCGTCTACCCAAAGAATAAGAACGGTAAATCCCCGACCAGCCCTAATTCACACGGGGCAGAAATGCACCACATAGGCTGCATTTGTACCGAGAGATTAGAGTCTGTGAATCCCCGGTTTACTCGAGAAAGAAAAAATTAGACAAGGCGTTTCTTTTTATTTTGTTTTTTGTCCTGTTTTTGATTTATTAATGCTACAATGTCAATTTTGCATAATGATTCGGTTACATACTTTTCTTCAATCCATTTTCTGTAATTTTACGTTCTTGTCTATTAAAATTGAAATTACGTCACTATGTATTTTTATTATTCATAAGTGATTTTTTAATTTCACCTTAAACATTTTTAAATTCGAACTCTGTTTAATATCATTATTCACTTTTTAAATTCAAATACTCCCTTTTGAAATATAGATTTACTAGTTATGCTGCTATTACAATTTTGCAGATGAAACTCTATACTGCCTCTAGTCTCGTAGTTATGATAATGACTAATTAATTTTGTCCATCCAACCACTGCAGTTCTTCTAACATAGACTTAATCCTAGTATATTTGTTGTTATTTAAAATGTTTCTCATAGCTTTATTTTGTAGAATTTGTAATTTTGAAAATATGTTTCCATTTGCAGTAAACAACTTGGTTGAATAATATAAAAAATAGGGAAGAATTACAGTGTTATACACAATTTTTTTGGAATACATACTAAGATTATGGGAAACTCTATAGAAGTAATTTATCTTTTTCGATATTTTTGGAATAATGTATTCATAATGTTCGTGAAACAGTAGCTTACTATCCACATATATTTAAATGACTCGACTACTTCAATTTTTTCATCATTAATCGTGAGCCTAATTGTATTGTGACCTAAATGTTTCCCTATTGACATACATATTGTTTTATTAGTGTTTAATTTAAGTTTATTGACATTTAACCAATTCATAATTTTTTAATATCACTATTTAACAGTTCTAAAGCAGTGTCCAAATGCTTATGTGCTATATATACATGACATAATATTTCCAACTTTAGTTTTTTGACTTCTATTCACTAAATAATTTTGTAAAATGTGTAATACTGATCCATAGTGACGCAATTTCATTAACAATTTTTCCCATCTATAGTCTCAAATGCCCTTTCTCATCTATACTTCTTCTCCAGTCTTCCACCACCATTTGGATTGCCGTTTCTGCGGAACATTTTATTCTAAATCCAGCTTGATTTTTTATCAAAATTTTGGTTTCTTCAATGAATTCTATGATTTGTTCGTATATTATCGCTTCGAACAGCTTCTCGACATCGGGCAAGACATTAATCGGTCGCATATTTGTATACAGCTGAGAATGTTGAAATTTTGGCACAGGAGTAATGGTGGAATTCACCATTCAAGAAAAATAATAATTTCTCTCCAATTATATTGAAACAATCATTTAGAATATTTTTTGAGAAATTCTCACTTGGATTTTTATTCGATTTCAATTTTGAGATAGCTTTTCTTAGATTGCTGAGATTAATCGTCCTAAATTGCTTTTTATTGCTATCGATTTATCGATTTTCATATCATAGTATTTTTTCTTTACCCTCCTGAGAACTGCTACACACTCATTTCTTGATTTTGTATATTGTTTCCAATCATTTTCACTTTGGGTTACTGAAAATTTTCTGTAGTCGATATCATGTTTTAATTTAGACTCCTTGAATATCTGTGAAAACCAGGGTGTTGAGTTCACTCTTTCATATATTGTTTTCTTGACCATAGCTTCACTAATATATTTATCCATATTATTCATGATTTGTCAGAAGTAGTTGTCGTCATTATCGATAATTTCAGGTATATTGTGTTGTAAAAGTGTTTCTCGTAATTTTGTGAATTCAATGACTGTAATTTCTTTCATTTTATTTTAATTGAACATATTTCCATTTATCCAGGAAAACATTATCTCGTGTCCGCGTACGTTCAAAAGAATGTGCCTGCGAAAGTGCACGTTTTTTTTCAGAAGGGCTAGCTTGTGACGACCATAATAATACTTCACGCCTTTTTTTATCTATATTTTGCAGGTTCATTTAAGAAAGGGTTCAGAAAATGGGTATCTGCAGTATCTCAAATCGAGACCAGGGGCGTCATCTGACAGCAACAGAAGAATCAAAGAAATGCCTTTTTCCAGCTGTTCAATCCACCCACTGTTAAAAAGTTCAGGTGAAAACGCTGAGGAAATCAGAGAGAATCTTCTAGATCAGATGAAACAGTATAGGCCACATGGAGTAAGTTATAAATGCCAAACTCTCTGTTTCTCGAGTCTCATGTGAAGATGGTTCATCAGATCATGGGTCAACTTTTTACCAAAATATGAATCTTCTTTTCAGACTATCTTCGAAATATGCGGCAAGAACAAATCCCAGGAATACCAAATAATGAAGCAGAAGAGGTCGTTTCACAAAGAAAAAATCCAATCACATCATCAGCTGCTCAAGCAAAAACAAGAAGAAATAGAATCTTTCGGTACTGTGACTGAAGCAAAGTGTACGTTGCCGAGCAGTGATAGCACGGATATAGACAGTACATTTTCAGAAGTAGTGATGCCTAAAAAGAGAAAAATGGAAGATTTGTATAAGAAAAATAAGCGGCAGAAGGTTAAAGACGAAAATTATATTCCTTACGCACCGTCAGATCAGCACACTGAAGAAGGGTGAGACTTTGATTTGTTTTTACATACCGTATTAAGTAGTTTGCCTTCCGTACTTTGATTACAAAAATTGAAGATTGTGAAAAGTAATCATGATCATTTTTTTTCAGATATGCAGTTAACAATTTCCAAAAAGATGCATCGAAGGCTCAGTTAGATCTGGTGGGAGACTCGGAGGAAGGGATGAGATTGAACAGGCATCTGAAAATGTGGGACAGAAAGAAGAAAAAGATGGTCGCAGTACCCGTAAGTAATTCTCTCTTAATTTATACTCATGTCATTACCATTAGTTAACCTATTGTTCAAGCAGTTGCTATATTTTGGATGTTTTTATACAATTTTCACCAAGTAGTAGTATCGCAGTAATTTCCCTAGAAGTCATAAAAACATGCTTTTTCTTTGAAAGGATTGCTTATCTTAATATAACATCTAAAACATATCATATGGTTTATATCGATAATCCCCCATGTTTGTGTGTCTGTATACTGGGTGTATCATAAGAAATGGTAGATAATTTAACAGGAGATTCCTTTCAAAGAAATATTGGGATTAAGTTAAATTTTATTAGTTCGAAAGCCAAGGGCAACCAAGATACAGAGTGATACACTTATTTTTTGAATTTCGGCCACAAATTTAGCATTTACCCTTCGTTTTTAACTATTTTCAATAGGATGCAAGGATAGGTAAGATAAAGACAGAATCGGGAGCTTGGATTCCAGCTACATACAAATCGAACAGATACGCTGAATGGAAGGAGAAAACGAAAATTGATCAGGAAGAAGCTGAAGATAATGATGAGGAAGAGGCACAGTCAAAACCAGGTAAGAATACTTCTAGCAACGATTTAGTATCAACATTATTTGTTCCGGAAATAAGCTGCTATGCATATAATTTCGTCGGCCGTGTGTCTCTTAAATTTTTTGTCAGCGTGTAATCTCAGTAAATGCCGCATCGATTTTGATAACAACATATTCGTGTAAGATTAGAAAAACTTTCACACATTCATAAATGTGATTGAATTTTTTTTTATATTTCACAGCGGTGGTTAGAAGTAAGGCACATACACATTGGGCCAGGCATAATGAGAAGATGAAGCAAAAACACAGAAAATCTGAGCTGAAGTCAAAGGATGAAATCTTGAAAGCTAGGTCAATCGCGGAGAAGAAACAACAGAGACAGAAGAAAGGGAAGAATAAAGGCAAAAGGAAGGGAGTTAAAAAATACTAAATTGTATTTTCTATATGAATAAATTATGTTTTAAGATTATCCCCTTGTATCATTTGACCCTCTAACAGCGTCTATTCAACTTATGTTCCATGTTTTTGCAATTTTAGGGAAAAAATCAGCTATTCAAGTCCAGCAAAGTCTAATCATATTAGCAAATTTCCCCGGAATAATTGTAAAGTCTGGTTTTATTGATGCAAGTTGTTCAAAGGGGTATTTAAAACGTGGACGCATAAAATGAGAACACCAATTTTTGTGGGAAAACTCTTTATTTGACAACAAAGAGAAAACGGGTATTTTGGGATTTAATCAAAAGTGTTGGCATTAACGAAAAAACTCTTCAAATAAGATTTTCAGGTACTCACGAGGTCTACAAAATGAGACCACAGCCAAAAAGAGACCACAAGCAAATATTTTGGAGCGGAACCCCCTTTTTTATGCCGAAATTGGAAAGAGTAAGTGACCTTGAAAATTACCGTGACCTTAATGACATTTCAAGGTCAAATTGAGACATAAAAATTCGCTAAAATGAAGAACCAAAGGTGACGTTGACCATAGCCTTCAAGGTCGAATTAAATTTTTCAGACGAATTTTTGAACTGAAAATTTTACATCCGCATGTAACCTTAACGTCAAGGTCATGTCAAGCTTAAAAGTTATTTGTAGGTCAGCCACTAGATTTTTATGCCTAAACGAGAAAACATATTTCAACGTGAATGATAAAATGTTACCTTGACCTTGTAGGTCAATGCATAGTCAATGCCGCCTTTGGGTGACCAGCACAGACCTCGCGACTGTGATGTCAAACATTTTTGCTAGAGCAAATTGTTTTCAACACGTTATTTGGCCTTGATCATGGTACGGTCATATTGGGACGTAAAATTTCCTCTTATCATTTCAAGTGAAAAAAAGAGGGTTCTGTTTGCAAATATTCACATGACCTTGAAGTTCGTTCTCAATGTAATCTCTTCTAGGTGTAGCTCCATGTTCGTAATTACAGAATAAGGCTTTCGATTGCCGCATTGTAAGGTGTTAATAATAAATCCCATGTTTTCGAACATATTTTTTATTTTATTCTAAATGTATGTCAGTCACAACATGACCAAAGTCACTACTAAAAAATATCACACACTTTGCAAATCGCTTACATAAATAATCGGCTAAAGCTTACCAACATAAAGTCTATGATGTTTCGATGATCGGTTTTTAACTTCAAATATGTACAGAAGAATATGCTGAGTGTATGTCTAACGATTAAAACCCCGTATAAAAACTGGAACTTTGTGATCCGAAACAGCCATCTAACATGTCGGTGTTATCACTCACAACTTAAATGAAAATGAGTATAAAGCACAACACCCAGTCAAACAGGAGTTGCTAGTCAAATCGCAATCGCAATACTTTGGAATATGTCCAAATTTGTGAGACTCTATATAACCTGCCACTACTTAAGTTTAGCCACAGATCAGTCTTTGCCTACAATATCTAGAAAATCCTTTATATCTCAGCATTCATTCCTTTTCTGCATCTTCAACTTGATCATATCCTGCCAAGAGGCACTTTCAACATATACATGACCTTCACAATTTACAATACAACTGCTATCATTATTAATATCAGGAATTAACTCTAACATATTTTTTGAGCTGTTAATTGTAGATTTAACGTTGTCCGATATTTCGCACGTCTTAGATTTGATCAGGAATTGAACATAGTCTTGACAGGCGTCGGCTAGTCTCAAATGAAGAGAACCATCTAGGATGTTGATTTCTGATCCCTCTTCTGATATTCGGAACAGATGAATTTTCGCTTTGCCTTTTTCGAGTACGAGTTTCAGTTTGCCATCAAAACCGGCTGGAATTTTTCAGAGTTTGCTTGGTGATTCAGGAAATTTACTTTCAGCAACTTACCCAGATTTATGTTTCCTTCGTGTATAAAAATCTTGCATGACCTGTGAGCATTCTGAAGTTCTAGGTTACCATTTACAATTTCAAAGTGGCTTTCATGGGAATAGGCTGATTCAACATTGATGTCTCCCTGATTCGTTTTCAAGATCAAGTTCAGTCCTTGCATTCGTCCTGTGGTTATCGACTGAAAATGTATATCCAACAATGCTTTAAGATGTTTAAGTGGTAATACCACTGTCATTATTATACTAAGTGACATATAAATCCGAACACCCAGTTTAAATGGTTTTATTTTAATAAAAGTTGGTGAATGTATTTATCTTACTGTAAATTACAAGTGAAAAAATTCACTAACGCTCTAAAAATGAATATTTCAGCCGCAGTAAAGAATCAACGTTGGCGGATTTTGGTTCTTGACATCCTTTACGATCGGTTACGATGCCTAGAGTAGGGAGACCTGTACGATTTCGTCAACTTAGCGAGTTTGATAGGGGCCGTATAGTGGGACTTCGGGAAGCTGGACTTTCTTTTCGGGCAATTGCAGTTAGAGTGCAAAGAAGTGTAGACACTGTGGTTAGGTGTTGTCAGGCGTGGCTTCGAGAAGGCCGTACGCAAAGAGCAAGGGGCACTGGACGCCGCCGTAGAACAACAGACCGTGAAGATCGCCGCCTAAGATTATTGGCCTTTAACTCGAGAACACCGACGTAATCGCCTTGAGTGGTGCAGACAACGGTCACTCTGGGATCAGGAATGGAACAGTATTGTCTTTAGTGACGAGTCTCGATTTTGTTTAGGCATGCACGATGGTCGTGCCAGGGTTAAAAGGCGACGTGGTGAAAGGAGGAATCCACAGTTTTTTGTTGAAAGACATGTTCATCACACTGTTGGAGTTATGGTTTGGGGTGCTATAGCTTATGGTTCCAGGTCACCTTTAATCTTCATCAGAGGTAACATGAACGCGCAGCGTTATATCCCCGAAGTTCTAGAACCCCATCTTTTACCCTATCTTGACACCCTGGCAGATCCAACTTTCCAACAAGATAATGCCCGACCACATGTTGCAAGAGTCACAATAGACTTCTTTCAACATAATGATGTCACATTGTTACCATGGCCACCAACATCTCCCGACTTATCCCCAATTGAGCACGTATGGATATGATGGGTAGGAGATTGCTCAATTTGCAACGTCCTCCTCAGACTCTAGAAGCACTTCGAGAGGAGTTGGTGGTTGCCTGGAATGAGATACCACAGGAGGACATTGACCACCTGGTCAGAAGCATGCCTAGGCGCGTTGGAGAATGCGTAGCACATCAGGGTGCATCCACACATTATTAAAGGTCAAAGGGCTTTAAAGCAGTGCAATCATTTTGAAATTTTATCATTTACTTATTATGCTTCATTAAGTACTTATACAAAATTTTATTAAAATAAAACCATTTAAACTGGGTGTTCGGATTTATATGTCACTTAGTATATCTTGTTCACTCACTGCCAATGAAGCTGTATTCTCAAAATTACAAGTCCTGCAAAATAAAGCTATGAGAATAATATTGAATAAAAATAATTACACCAAAATAAAATCTATGTTACACGAACTGCAGTGGTTGAATATAAAAAATTCCATATCATATTTTTATATTTAAAATAAAAAATCATCTTTTGCCACAACATTTATAACACTACATAGAATTGAATCTTCATTACCACAATTATTATACAAGAGGAAATATAGATTTGCATTTACAAAACTGCAATAGTAATATAACTAGCAAATCAATATTTCAGAAAGGATTACTTGAATTTCATAAACTGGATAATGATATAAAGTCTACTTGTAATTTAGAGATGTTTAAAAGAAAATTAAAGGAATATTTCATGGACAGTGAAAATTCTCAGTGATGCAAATTTTGTTTTTCTAAATAAATATCTGTATGTTTTCTAATTGTTTAGTTTTTGAATGAATGTAATTGTAGCAATCATGCTAAATAAATCTTAAACAAACAAACAAATGATTGATATTTTTTCCTCGAAAATTGTGTGTTTTAACGCCAAACAAACAAGAATCAATATTTTCAAAATCCCCTATGTATTTTTTTTAGCTATAAACTTGTAAAAATAAGTTGTTTTTTTTTCTTTTCCTAGATTCAAATTTGCAGCAGCTACACAGCCTCAAATTCTATGTGCCTCACAAAAATGGCTGTAGTGCCACCATTTTTGATTTTTTTAATACTTTTTTTTTGTTACTTAATATTAATATTACCAATATCATTATTTCATTATCTTTTCTTTCACAAAAAAAAACTTTTTAGGCTGCTTGAGGTGAAATGACATAGCTATCATGTTGGTAACATTAGATAAATCCAAAATAACTTTGAAAGAAATGCAGCTGAGTTTGTGGTAGCCCTGACATATTTGGAATCTATGGATCCAGTTGATGCTGGAAACAGAGACTTGTCCTCATCACAGACAGGTAGTAATTTTTTAAAAAATACTCTTGCAGATCTCCTAAAATGTAAACTGTAGGATAAAATTGATTTTACCCCGCGCATCAAATTGCAAATGCACTGAATTTACCCAAAACAAGGAATTTTGTTCAAATCACCGACACTCAGGGGAACTTTGAGAATTTCTCAAAGAAATTCTAAAGCTTTTTGAGAGCTAATTTGTGGTATTCAAAATCATTGTCAAATACTTACACCATTTTCTTGTACATAAGCAGATATATTTGCAGCTTGTACAAATTCATTCAATCTTATATTGCCATTTCCAGTAATGACATTGACAGAATTACCTTGGAACCTGTCTACATATACATCACCTTCTTGTGATGTTGCATACAACTTATCACCTTGGAAATATCCTACGTTTATATCTTTCTTTGAATTTATATACAGATCTAGAATAATAGAAAATATAAGTACCAGATTTTTTTTTAATGACAACAAAAACTGATAAAAAAGGATAAATGGCTCCAAAAGGATATTGTTTTACTCACTTGCTTTAACTGGTGCCTTAACATAACACATAACGTCTTTTTCTTCGATGTCAACAGTCTCGTCAATTTTGACCTGATTTCCAACAACATCATGTTGCAACGAATTTTCGCATCGTTCATCAACCTTTATGATCAACTTGTCTAAATTATGATACTTATGGATATTTAACGGCTTTACAGTTACACTGTAAGGGAGATCAATATGTACGTCGCAAAATGTTGGTACTTCTAGTTCCTTTTCAACATAAGTAGCAAAAGCTTTCAGTTGCAACAATTTGCTTGGTCTTAAATCACGTAGCAATAACTTTGTAAGAGCAGCCCTGAAACAGAGCGAGTTAAGTAGGTCCAGTTATTTGCGTTTAATATCCAACTTACATTTTTGACCACTTTTACTTAAATCTCGAGCGCAGCACATATGTTCAATGTTTACACGTTTTGTTTTTGTTGGGTCACCATAACCTCTAAATAACTTGCGTAGCCCTAAGAAAATTATTCTTGGAACACCTAACGGAGCACTAGCTACAGCCAAGCCATTCAACGGGGCTGATCCACTATAAGATGGGAAAAGGGGCGTAACTATTAGTTAAGCCGCGCCCCCTTTCTGCTTAGGCAGTTAGGAATTTTCTCTCTGTTGTTTGCTAGTATTCTATGGTTGATTTCAAAATGACAGAAAAATGTCCTTTTTCCCGGGTCGTTTAAATTATAAACTTTTTATCGGAAATTTGAGAAGTGAAAAGCACTCCGAACAATATTGCCTACGAATTATAAATGGTTTTACATAAATGCAGCTGCCAAAAGCTACAGCAATCTAAATAATGTGCAAAGTGAAAACGTATTTGAGCGGTCGAATGTGAGAGGTTATAAGTTACAAAATGTGACCATGTAACTGCAGGATTGTGTATTATCTTGGTTTTAAACATAATTACATAAATATTTCGTTTGGTTATCGCATTTTCCATCAAAGTTTCGGTACAAGAACACGTAACGCGCGAAACTTTTATAAGTTGATGCAGAGGCCCCCAAAAAATGGCAAGTATATTGTGCAGAAGACTTCTATTAACAAGGACATTATGTGTGAAAGAATTATCAGTTCTGGCAGCTTGGCCATCAACAAATGTTATTACCAATCACAAATTATTTGAGCACAACGCCAAAAGTAGTGATCAGAACAAGATTGTAGTAGCAGTGCCCTTCCCAAGTAGTATCCATATTAAGTATTACTCAACACAATCAGATGATAAAGGCAAAGATGAAGTCGCTAAAGAAGAGACAAAGAAACTCTCATTGTTCCAAAAATTCAAGAGTATGTACAGAGACTATTGGTATGTTCTAGTACCAGTTCACTTGGTGACATCAGCTGTATGGTTCGGAGGATTTTACTATGCTGCAAAAAGGTAATTTACCATTTGAATTTATTTCCCAACAGTGGTGATATGGTCTTAATACAATTCAATAATATTTCCTAGCTTATAATGGAAGAATTGCCGCTTTTAGATAGTGCAAAAGCATGACATTTATAGAGGATATTTTCCAACTCAATTTTTTTTACAACAACATTTGTTCTATACCCCCTTAGCAAGAATCAACAGGTTTCCAGGCACCTGGTGCAATGGGGGGGGCATAAGTGTGGATATTTTACTATAAGATCCTGAAAAGTATTTTGGACTTGGTTTATTTCAGAACCTTTTTATTTGATGGAATATTTCCATATGATGAAGGAGGCGCCCATGTCCCATGGCAGGTTATTAACAATTAAATAGCAATCCTTTAAAAAACGTGTTTGCATTGTGGTCAAAGTGATTAGTTTCATTCAAAAAACGCCATTATGAAAAAAAAGCGAGTTGGAAAATTTAGCATCTGACCATTCTTACTAGTGCTTAAGCAGTCCATACACTGCTTTTTTAAATTTATCCATGCACATATTACTGTAGAACTGTTTGATATTTTAAGACTATATACAGTAGTGGACAAAAGTATATAGACAAATATGAATATTTACCTAAATACCTTTAGAAAACAAATTCATACTTCATTGCTCATAAACAAATGCGTTATTAGTATAAAAACTGAATTCCTTGTTTTAACATTATCTGCAATGAACACAATACAAGTCTGAATATAGGCACTTTTTTATGAGGGACAAAAATATGTAGACAAATTCTTTTCAACATTAGCTTAGTACAGTTTTGTGTCAGAAGAGGATTAGTTTGTGTTCATCAAGTATTGTGGAATAAGTTGAGTGATTTTAATACAATGCCACAGGTCCAGAAATTTCTTTCAATGTAAAAACTAAGATCACTGAGTTATAGAAAGATGGTCAATGTCAAATCGACATTGCCAAAAATTTGAAGCTGAAGCGTAAAGCAGTTTGGGCAATATTGAAAAAATATAAACAAAAGGTAACTTGGAAGCCTCTAAGAGAAGTGGTTGCCAAGAAAAGTAAATGCTAGATCTATTTAGATTAATAAAAGTAATTTCCTCCAAAGATCTGTTAAAACCCCCAAGACAAATAAAAGCTGAAATTGAGAAAAAAGGAATGGTCAGTGTTTCTACGAAAACTATAAGTAGAAGGTTAAATGATTTGAAGTTATTTACACGTCGCCCAAGTAAGAAGCCGCTAATCTCAAGGAAAAACTGTAAGGACGATTACAATTTGCACTGTTGCATCTTGATTGGAGCATCTGTGACTGGAAGAGGGTATGTTTCAGTGCCGAATCCAAGTTCAATATGTTTGGATCAGATGGTGTTCATTACATAGACGTCCTAGTGGACAAAGATTGAACCTCAAGTACACGTTGCCCACTGTCAAACATGGAGGCGGGTCTGTTAAGATCAATCTTCCAGCAAGATAATGACCCGAAGCACACTTCAAATCTCGCAAAGAAATTATTTCTGGATGAAAAAATACCAGTTCTCAAATGGCCTTCACAGTCTCCTGATATAAACCCCATTGAAAATATATGGGAATACTTAGATAAACAAATACGAGATAAAAATTATTCAAACAAGGGTGAGCTTTTTGCCAGTTTAGAGCAAAAGTGGAGACAGACTGATGAAGCTTATATCAACAAACTTCTACAATCTATGCAGAGACGATGCCAGTCGGTGATTGATAATAATGGTTATGCTACAAAATATTAACACAAACATAGTTGGTTTTCTATAATTCAACGAACTTTGCTTCAACTTGCTAATTGTTTTGCGTTGTCTATATATTTTGTCGTTCATATGTAGTTCCAATTTTTTTCAATTAATTTTTTATTGAAGGGAGTCTAATGAATTTATTATATATATATATATAGATAAGTGAGTATTATGCTATAACAAATTATATATACAGGTTTGGTGTATTAATAAAACAAGTTAAACAAGAAATACAGCACAATATTAATTTGTGTATATACTTTTGTCCATTACTGTATATGTAGGTAGCACAAAAAATGAAGTAAACAGTCACTGTAAGCATGCAAAATTCATATATTGTCATTTATCTACGCTTTTTCTTTAAAACAGCATCTTGAAATTGAATTTTTAATATAGAATGAAGCTGTATTTCCCTGATTTTTTACAAAACCTTTGAGCAGCTTTATCTGGTTAATAGCTTTACCATAATTTGGAATAGTTTCTGTTAGTATTGGAACCTCATAAACATCAGAATCTTTGGGAAAGTTTTTGTATTGCAACTGGATTTTCAATTCTTTGTCCTTAATCTGGATCTTCAACATACAAACTGTCATCTAGGTTAAAAAAATCTTAAAGGTTTTCATTATCAGTCAATTTCAATAAATTTTTATTTATGAGGATATCTAAAAGTACATTAAGTGTTAAGTCACCTTCTGGGGCAGGCGTATCAGCCTCATTTAACTAGTCTTCACTTTGCATATTTTCATACTTAATCCTGCTTTGGGGAATCAATTTTGCACTGTTTCTTTGGTTACTTAAGCTTAAGTTTTAAAAGTATATATAATCGCTTCGTCAAGTGGTCAACAAGGTGATGTACATGTATATTATTTAAGCAAATGTCTTTTGGATGAGATCCCGCATTGTCTAAAAATAACAAAATGTTACATTTTTTTAGCCATTTTCCAATCTAGGTCTTGCAACACTCTGTCTTAATATGTCTTTGTTTTTGTCACTACAAACCTATTGATAATCTCCCTCACTATTTTAGAATGGATATGTAAAGAAAATCAACATATTAATACAAAAATAATATGCATACCTATATGATCCCTAACGCATAAATTTTCAGACATTATCTAATTTTGTCTGAAAGTTTATTTATTTTAGTAAGGTTAAAAAGTCATTGTTTTTCTTTTAGACAATGAAATATATTGTTTGCACATCATATTATCATATTAACAAAACGGTTTTCAAGTAAAGTGATATTGAAATATAAAATCAAACTAATATTGATAACAACGAAATATTTTTCGGAAATAATCAGTGCGCTAATAGAACAGCAGAAATATTTAATGAGCGACATGAAAACAGTAACGTGCATCGTAAATATGTTCTAGAACTTGTAGCTAAATTTCGGGAAACTGAGTCAGTCGCCAATAAAAAACGCAACATTGAAAATTCCATAAGGAACGAATCAATAGAAGTGGGGGTTTTAGGGCAAGTTTATGTAGATCCTACGTTAAGTATCCGCAAATTGGAGACTGTGTGTGGTGTTAGTCGACATACTGTCCAACGGATTCTAAAGGCCCATAGTTTTCATCCGCATAAAATTCACCTGGTACAAGAACTTAATGAAGACGATTTTGATCGGCGATTACAATTTTGTGAAGATATGAGTGAACGATTTATAACGATGAACATTTTCTATTCAACAATTGCTTTCCGACGAATGTTCCTTTTTCTTAATAGGCGTAGTAAATCGTCATAACTGCCGATATTGGTCCGATTCTAATCCCAGAATTTATCATGAGGTTCATACACAGCAGCCACAAAAATTAAATGTTTCTGCGGGTATTTTTGACGATCATTTTGTTTGTCCTTTTTTCTTACCTAGAAATTTGACTGGTGAAATGTATTTGGAAGTACTGGAGGACGCCATAGATCCTGCATTAACAGCCATAATTGAAAATCAGAATGATCTGCGGTACGTTGCGAATAGGTTGATGTTCCAACAGGATGGTGCCCCACCACATTACGCATTACGTGTTCGACAATATTTAGATCAGACGTTTCCAGATCAATGGATTGGTAAAAGAGGTGCCATTGAATGGCCCCCAAGAACGCCAGGTTGATCACCTTTGAATTTCTTTATGCGGGGTCATTTAAAAAGC